AACAGAATGAGAAGAGAAAGAGAGAAGAGAGTGAACCGCGAATCATCATTTTTGTATTATCGCTTATACTTCATTTCTATTAACTTACTTGTTCACTTAAATATACTGTGTCTGTGTTCTAAACGAAAATCATATTTCGTCCTATTCTAACCTAATAACGTTACTCTTTTTTTGCGTACTGATGTTCGTTTGTTCATAGCCAAGCCATCGAATTATCGTTTTGATAGAATCGGATTCTGGTTACAAGACAATTTGCATTTTAAACGCGTTCAAACGTATCGAGCCGATTGTAAAGCGAAATTTGCAATTCGTTTTTTAAACGTGCGAAATGTGAAACCGGCAGACATTTATCGTGAAATTTGTCAAGTGTATGGAGAACATGCCATGAGTAATTTAATGGTTAGAAAAGAGATTCTTGACCTTTTGTCTACCTCAGACCGCCTTTAAATAATTTTTTGTTGTTACAGACCTCCAAAGACTTAACTCTCGAGGTTTAAGTTTAGATATTTTTAGGGATATTTTTACAGAAAATTTCGATATTTTGCGTACATATTTATTTATGTTTTACGAATGTTCACAATTTTTTTCAAGAGACAGTAATCAAAACTGAATGAATTATATATATCATTGAACAAGGCTTCGCTAAAAAAAAATGGATAGATAACCTAAAAGTTAACAATATTTAAAGGATAGCTGTTTTTCAGGACTGCGTTCACAATATTTTAAAATCTACTTGATCAATTGATATCAAATTTTACATAAACATTCACTAGACATATGGCTATAGTTCGAAGTAAAAATATTTCAAAATTTGCATTTGTTCTACTTTCTTCAGTCCCATAGATTAAAAGAACATCTAAAAAAAATCGGTATTCGAACTTCACAGATTCGCTATTTTTTTAGTCGTTAATATTTCGTATTTATTCTAGTTCCAACTACAGATATACTCGTACTAATGAGAAATATTTTTTTATTTTCTCTTGTCGAATAAATGGAAAAGTCGAAATTACGAACGCCATGAGACGCCATTTTTTTTTTAAGTCGACTACGGACGAGAGCTCGTAGCAGTGGTCATTTTGATTTTTTATAAATAAAAAAAATTATAGTTATTTGAAAAATACGTACAAATATACCTTTAAATTTGTATGGCAACAAGTCTCATAGTTATTTTACCAAAAAATCATAAAATATAGTAAAAAATCGCGCGTCACGCTAAAATGTCCAGTTAATTAATTGTCAAAATTTATATTTTCACTCGGTATAAAACGAATATTTCTAACGTTAATCTGAATAATCGATAAATGAAACTTTATTTGAAACCTTTGAAAGGTAAACAAATAGAGAATTAATCGATCGAGACAAAATAATGAATAAAATAAAGTAGTTTTAATAATTTCAAATTTTGATTTCTTTTTCTTATAGATCCTAATACAATTTCGCTACTACTCGTCGCAAGCATTGATAAAAGATCAAGGTACTATGAAATATCGGTAGTAATAAATATAAATAAACATCTGTGTAAACGTTACTTTTTCTGCGAACGGGCACGTTTCCGTCGCGTTGATTTCGTAGTTGCCCGCGACGATAATTTATTTAATGATTTAACAATAAAGCACTGGAAGAAAGTAAATTGTATAAAAGACGATTTATTCGAGTCTGAAATGAAAATTTTCGCAACAAATGGCGCTTACCGATCAACAGGTAGATTCGCGTTGTTAGATCGAGTTGCAATTCCAAGCGTACATCTAATCAAAACTAAATCTTCTCGACGTGGTAATAAACTCGACACATCTACGCGCCACGGGATGCCTAATATTTCTTTGTGGGCTTCACTGCAGCTAATAAATAGACAAAAAAGGAGCTCCCTTTACGTCCGCCGACTGGACCTATATTCCAGTTAATCTCTTCCTGTCCTCCAAACCATTCAGCCTTCAAACAAGACAAAATTTCTCGATGCCATTGCCAAAGTATTCAGCCTTCGAACCGACCGACCACTTCTCGACGCCATTCTCGTTGCCACTCGATTGAAAATCTCCTCAAAGGCTGATACCAACCTCTCATCGCTAAACATAATTTCCCTATTATACAGGTTGTTCACGCTATTACCAGCCAGTAATTCTTTAACAACCTTTCATCGGCAAACATAATTTTCCTATTATGCAGGGTGTTCATGGTATTACCAGCCTGTGATTTTTTCCAAAAGTATTCGAATTAGAAGAAAATGAAAGAGAAAAATGCTTTACAATTTCTTATGACCAATAGGATAGTGTATATCAATTTTGCATATTTTTAAAGGGAACACTATGTATATTTTTACGGATGGAGACATTTTGGAGGTTAGAGGGCAAATTGATGTTTTTTAAAAATTCTCAATATACTTTTCATTAACGTTGAATCTCTAACATAGGTTTAAGACCAGTAAATGTACTATTTTACTAGAAAATTACAGTCGACTTTGAAATTTCCAAAACGTCTTCGTCAAGACGAATTTCTGTCTTATAAGTGGCCTGAATAGTTAACGAGTACTTCCGCTTTGTTTCTTGAAAATTTACTTTACATATACTGATTGTAAATTAGAGATTCAACGTTAACACGTTCGCGATCGTGAATACTATAGCATTCATTATCATTGCGATGGAAAATGACACGTATGCAATATAACCCACACTATCATGCATATTTCAAAATTATTATGCACTTTAATGTAATGGCTAATTGGTTCATTAAGTATTTTCATTTCATTTTGAAAATTCTTTTTAAATTCTTCAAAGCACGGACAAAATAATTCGATTACAATTTCTATAGCTTCTCCCACTTTAAATTACCCTTTTATCGTATTCAACTTTCTCTAAAACTGTTAGACAGAGTTTAAAACTCGCGATCTTTGCGGTGTGCTTCTATTGGTCACGCGCACAATCTATTGGACCAATCACGTATTTCTTGCTCGTTAGTCGTACGCGTTCTTTTGTGAACGCGACTCGAAAATCATGTGCCCTTTATTTATACGCGTCGTGTTCTGTCGTAGTATGACTACAAACTAATATATATTTCCGTCTGTTAATACGATACTTGTGAAACCGTAGGAAGTGTTTATTTGAAGTCAATCCATCGCCCTAACCAAAACGATATCACACGGCCACTCGTAATATCTTCCAAAGTAAGTACTAAAATTGATTGTTCATAAACTAAGTTAGTTCTAAACGTGTTCGCGAATATGAAGGCTATAGCATTAATTTTCATTGCGATACAAAATTACACTAATGCTATAACATTCAAATTCATAACCCCTGGGAATAATTTTAATGGGAGATTCTAGAGGCCAAAATAAGACGAAAATCAAGAATACCAATTTGTTGATGGAGGCTTCGTTAAAAAGTTATTAACGCCTAAAGTTCCATTCGTAATGAACTTTTTTCTCGAAAATGCGCAGGATTTCGGGGGTATGTCTATTCACCAAAAATGATTGTAATTGACCCCCGCAACAGAAAATAATTTTTCCAGGACCATTTCAAATTTTTTTTTCCGTCGGAAAATTTCACACTTTCTCGAATTTTTTTCTAGAAAGTGGGTAGGATGTCGGGGGTATGTCTATTAACCAAAAATGATTGTAATTAACCCCCACAACAGAAAATAATTTTTCCAGAACGATTTGAAATTTTTGAATTTAATTGTTAATAATTTTTTAACACCCTGTATAATTCTTAAAAATTTGGCTATAACCACTACCATAAAGAAAAGTAAGGATTTTAATATTACTCCAAAATTCACATACTCGACAATCTCGAGAATCATGACTTTTAAAACTATTGTCTGACGCTATTATTCTATTAAGTGTTGAAAATGAAACTTTGTAAATGTATATTTAAACTGTTAAATTTGTGAAAAAGTGTTATAGTTTGGGGAAGGCCACCATTAACGCGAACGTATTTGATCTAGTTATTATTGCTTTAATTCTACATAGTGTAACTTTTACGGAAATAAAGAAAGATGCGTGATGTTTCACCATCGAGTATGCGCTACGAACATTCCAGGCGCCGCGCGGGGAAGTCCCATTCGGATAAGTCTAATAGATGGCGACACTGCATTCCTCAACAAAAAGTAAAATGAGTTTTTGGTTGTTGTAATTCTGGACGGTGGTTGTCGATCTTAAAATTCTAAACATACGAATATAGAGCAGCTTAGATCATTTTTCGGGCATCGGTAGAAAATTCAAATATTGGTCGAAGCACATGCTTCTGGAGATTCGAATGAAAATAAATCGGATCTCGTGGGTTTATAAGTCGGAATATCTTTTTAAAGGAATGTTCCAGAACGGTAGATGGAAAATTAGCGAACAGCGTCGTTGTTTTAGCGCCGCATAAACCATTAGACGGGTGTAAATGAAACGCTCGAGGTAATCGTGCGATAAGCGTAATTATAGAGTGTAGCAACGTTAAGTTAATTGAGTTAAGGTAACCGTAACGATAAATGCTGCTCGAATATTGGCTGTATTTTGCACTGGACTAGAAAGCTCTTACGTTTTCTTTCCTACGTGACTCTCGATTTCTTTGATATTCATAACTTCCTTATCAACAAGTTCTGTTGCTTTAGGTATACATCGTAACCGCTGTAACACGTACAGTGTGGTCCACGAAACGTGCACGCAAAAGTTTTTTAAAAAGTTATTTTTATATCCAAATGGAAGCAAGAAAACACGAAGAAAACAAACGATCGCGTTCAATGGTAATATGTTTGTTTATGTAGTTGGTAAAATATGTATTTAACACTTTGACTGCCGCTTCACAGGATTTACCACTATGGTATTAGAAAAAATAATTCTCAAATTAAGACGTTAAGGGAAATAAATTTGGATAGAATTTGTGCATTTTAACAAGGTTAAAAAAAATTAAGTAACGATACAAATTTTAGGTTATGTAGCTTACAATGGTCTAAAATCAAAATGTTATATGGTTTTGATTTGGCAGTGAACGTGTTAAGGGGAAAAATTGTACTAGACTCACCGAGTATTCCATCGATAGAATGATTTCTTCGGGGATCGTCTCCGGAACGAGTTTGATTTGTAGGTCCTCGAAGGAGCCTCGAGATACTGGAAACCGATGGCGCTGACGCCTTATCACAGACACCATCCTGCTGGCAGAACCACATTGGACTAGTTAGTATAACAATGGAAACTACCAAAACATTCCAATCTACGTACACTCCGTGACAAAAATACAGCACACTGTATCGGTATAAGATTTTTTAACTTTTGAAACTATATATTGCATTACTTTTGATGTTTCTAACGCCTCATAATAATAACAAATTACATAAGTATGTTTCAAAATATTTATTGCGAAAGGAATAAATTTTATTTTACAATATTGAAAAACAAGGAAAAATCGGTGCACATATCTCTTAAACGACTTATTATCCGTAGAAATATATTGTTTTAATATTCTGTTGCTTCACCTTTTGTTTGTATAACTGTTAATAAACGGTTTGGCAGAGACTTAAATAATTTTTTAACAAATCTTTTACTTAGAGATCTCCAGTTTTCCTCGATACAATTCTTTAATTCATGAACGGTCTTGATAATTGTGCCCAACAATTTTCACTCATGTTCTAATCTAGTAATCTGGCTTGGCCATTCTAAAACTCGAATGTTTTGCTGTGTAAAGTACTGTTTCACAATTCTTACGAACGTTTGCATTATCTCGTTGACAAAATAAAGTTTGCACCCACAATTTTTACTAATTTTTTTTCCAATGCATCCAATACAATTTAGATTAATACAGATGATATCAACAGACCTTTATCAGCTTCTCCCGAATCTCCCAGCTGAATATGCCAGGATTTTGTTTCTTCATGTCCTCGATTTTCGCTTCGACTTCCGGCGTGGCGACTCGCGGTTTGCTGCCGCCGATCACGCCCGGCCTAATCGATCCTGTTTCTTGATACCGATTCAAGATTTTCGAAACGCAACCGTGCGAAACCCTTAACTGCCTGGAGATTACGCACGGTCTGACGCCGGCCGCGGCCATTTCTACTATTTTCAGACGAATGTGATTCGGCAGCGGACGCCCGTTTATGAACACGCCACCGAGTTGATTCACGCGTCCTTGTCCTGGAACCAAACAAACCAAGCTACAATTTTATTTACTAAACATGGATTTACAACAAATACTGCGCGTAATTTTTCCTCTATTTTAACCCCTTTATTTTTCTGTAATGTTGCAATTTTTCTTTGACACTTGGTACTAGTTCCAAGCACCCCAAGTCGTTTTCACAACAAAAATAGAGTTTTAAACATTTTCTTATCAAATGTTTTTCTTCTATTTTTCCCCTTTATTTTTCTGTAATGTTGCAAATTTTCTTTGACACTTGGTACTAGTTCTAAGCCTCCCCCAAGTCGTTTTCACATTAAAAATAGAGTTTTAAACATTTTCTTATCAAACTGTACAATATGTATTGTTTACAATCGATGAATCCTGATACTTGTAAGATTGTAAATAACGTTAAGTTGGAATATTGTAAAGTCACAATTTTACCATTGAATTATCCAATATTTCCACGTTTTTATAATTTGAACACACTAAGAACTTCACTAAGAATGTATATAAAACCACATGTCATTAAATTGTTAAGAGCAAAACACACAGGGTGTTGAGCCACCCCTGGGAAAAATTTTAGAGAATAAACTAAGACGAAAATCAAGAATACCAATTTCTTGATCGAGGCACCGTTAAAAAGTTATTAAAAAATAAAATTGAAACATTTCAAATCACTATGGAAAAATTATTTTCGGTTGCAAGGGTCAATTACAAAATTTGGGTAGACAAAATTTTTCGGCGATATTAAAACATTTCAAATCACTATGGAAAAATTATTTTCGGTTGCAGGGGTCAATTACAATCATTTTTGGTCAACAGATATACACCCGAAATCCTCCGCAGTTTCAAGAAAAAAAATTCTTTTTTGACAATATAATTTGAGGTTAGAAACGTTACCCTGAAATTTCATGCAGATGTTTAAACCATCATAACTTCTAAACGGATTGAAGGATTTTAATGTTTCAAAATGCAAACAACGCGTATTTTGGTATAGAATATGTAGAAATTCTAACAATGTTCGAAAAGTTGTTTCTTAACCACGTAAAGTGAGAAAACCCCATATAAAAGTGGTTCAATATTCAAACGTCCATTACTCCTACAATAGTGAATGTATTCCATTGAAATTTAGTAGAGCAGTAGAGCTCATGGATACCTATAAAAAAGTATTAGACAACTTTTCTGTAGGGCGTCAAACAAAATTACTAAAAATCAAAAACGAATTTTTAAGAAAAATCGACAGGGGAGGCAGGTGCTGAAATTGTTCGGCGAAAATGAAGTTTCAAATCGTTTTGGAAAAATTATTTTCGGTTGCAGTGTGTGAATTATAATCATTTTTGGTCAATAGACATACCCCAGAAATCCTATGCAGTTCTGAGAACAAAATTCTTCTTCGGAAATATAATGTGAGGTTAGAAATGTTACTCTGAAATTAAAACATCATAAATTCTGAACGGATTGGAGGATTAGAATGTTTCAAAAGGCAAACAATGCGTATTAATGGAGCTCTAGAGTCTCAGAAAAATGGATCGAAAAGATATATTGGATGTAAGGTTTACTCGTATACCTCATCTGTGATGAGACTTTTAAACATTAATAACTTTTTAACGAAGCCTCAATCAACAAATTGCTATTCTTGATCTTCGTCCTATTTTGGCCTCTAGAATCTACCATTAAAATTTGTTTCCAAGGGTGGTCGAACACACCCTGTATATCGATCTGGCTCAATTTATTCTCCTAAAAACCCAACATAACGTGTTAAATCTATTATCGTAAATTGGATTTTTATTGGCGAATCAAGGAAACACAGCTGTCTCGAACTAAGAAAATTGCACATGGCGTTGTCAGAACGGGAAATTGTGTTTGTCGCAAATGGCGATGAAAATATTAAGTTTTGGTCGTCGATGCAAATCGAGTGTTACTCGGAATTGTAATGCAAACGGTCCTTTATGTAAATAGAAGCTGGTGGTCATTGAGCGTGGCTGGAAGGAAGTTTGTTTTACATGCGTGTGTTTTGAGGAGAAGAGATCCAAGGATCCGACATGGCAGGTCGAACGTTACCCGTTACCAGGGTCCGGTGAGTTTAACTGCTCGACGCAAAACCGGTGCCGTAACTCGTGACTCGTAACTCGTGACTCGTGTGATTCGTGACACCTCCTTTTCATAGTCCCTCGATCTCCGTCTTACGCAAACTTCTTCCAAGGTGGACATCATAAAAGGGTACGAGTAAGTCCCGACTACCACCGCCGCGAGACGCATCTCATTCCGCTTCTCTCCCGCTGGCTCTTTTTCAGAGGCCGGCCCTCCTTCCTCCGGACCTTTTTCACTTTGATTTTGCTGCCATTTCTGTCACGCTGTTTTCTTTCACTTCGTGATTATAATTAAGCTAATTAAAACGAGGACTAATTACCGGTAATTAACGATGTTTGAGCGGCACTTTGCGTGCTACCGCGCATTTTTGCCCACCTTTCGCTGCCCTATCCTCGAAACTGTTCCTCTTGTTCTACTTCGGTTCAAACTTTTACCCTCACCTTTCGTTTCATCTTCCTTGCGTTTTAACCGTCTCTGCGATTATTCGTGTAATTTCGCAGAAACTTCCGGATCGATCGTTTCTAACGCGAGTCTTTCGAGTCATCGATTTAGGGGGATCTTCTAGCGTCAAATGTGTTTTTTAAAACTTTATTCGTAAATTTCTTGCGAACAAACCGTAACACCTTTTACAGTCACAAGGTTTATTTGTACATGTTTCATTATACTTATACAAACTCGGCTAGCTTCGTGATAATTTTACATTTCGTTTGCTACATCATATTATTCAACTGCACCGTGAACAAGTAATAACGTTAGGTCAAACATTTATGCAAATAAATAATAGGGAGAAAAAATCGTTATGTGTTATTGTGGGTTTGATTCGCGCGCCATGTTTTGTGTTGGCCACTCTGTGCGTTTTTTGTGTGTTTAAGATCGCGTCGCCGCTTGTGGCGACACTTCGGGTTTTCCCCCTTGTATTCGTCAACGCGATCTGGGATTCCACCTATATATTAATTCTAATATATCACTCTGTTATTAACTTCTAATGTATCACTCTGGTATTAACTTTAATGTATCACTCTGGTATTAACTTTAACATTATGTAAGTATAGCTGCATGATAACAACAAATCGAGATCTAAAATTCTCTAACAATATCTGTTTTAACCGGGTTATTCTAGCGTCAAATGCGTTTTTTTAAACTTTCTTGGGGGATTTTTTGCAAACAAACCATAACACCTTTTGCAGTCAAAATAAGGTCTATTTGTACACGTTCCCATGACATTTAAAAATTTTTTTTTGACAAACATAGTCAAATATAATGATTCCGGCAATTCTGTTTGTTTAAAATGAAAAAACGTGAAAGATTCATGATTAATATCAATTTATTATAACAAAAAGATGATAATTACAGGAAAAGTATAAATTTCTTAATTTCTTACTTTATTGATATTTTTGTTTCATCAAAGAAACATCGATTGCGATGATAATCATGATCGTTGAATCGATAACGATATATCGATGTAAAAGTTAAACCGTATCTATGAGAAGTGCCTTCGTTTCCGTAATTTCGTAATTCCATTCAAGGTAATCGTACATTCGCGCATACCCGGTATATCTGAGAAAGAATTGCTAGACGCTAAAAGTCCATAAGATATTACCATGATAAAAAGTTTACGACGCACAGAGGTAATTCGATGCGATAAAGAACCATTGTCTAAAAGTCTTTCAGAATATAACATTTCGTTCGGTCGGATCAAATCTAGACGAAGTGCGTTAAACTCGATTCGAGGCTGCAGATATCCATCGATTTTCAAAAGTAACAATCTTGAAGCCAACCAACGATTTCAACTCTAAGAAAATTATGCTTCAAAGTGGAAGACCAACGCAATTTACAATAGAATTCCATTGGTAGATTTAGCGAACTTCTTCTAGAATCCTAATTACCTCGATTACTACCGACCGTCGCTCCAGTTATAATAGCAAGGCGAAAAACTGAACCCACCTCTTAGGCGAACGGTATAACTTGTATACAGTTTCGTAACTGTTTCTTCAAAATGTTTTTATTCGTATAGCGTGTCTCGCGGGCTCTGTCCACTTAAATATCTTGATTATTTCGAACAATGCGAGAAAACTTACGGAAGTTGTAGAGTTTACGAAAGTACATAACACGGTACAAACGGTATTTCTGCAAATGGAGACGTAGTGGAGACATAGAGATCAACTTTGTTTTTTAAATGTCCATTTTCTGTATTCTGAATATAAAAGTACTAATGCATGTTTGTCCTAAAACTTACCGTTTCTGAGATATTTTACTGTTTTCGTGATACTTGTTCAAAATGGCGGTCGTCTGCAACGTGTGGATAAAGTTCGTGAGATGACACGCTGTGTGTTCAAAATTCATGGTTCGTAATACAATCGACCCACATCATATGCACTATAACATAACCTTCATGTTTTAAAGTTTGCTTAACGTGACACGGGCGAAGAAATTCCCGTTTGCGAATCCAAGAACGTCCATCGGATAATATTCTGTTTACGTTTGTCACATTGCACGTCTCCGATCGAAAGCAGATCATTCTTTACATTTTTCAGCGAAAGCTATGGTGGGTATTGATGAAATAATAATTGTTTAACGCGTAAAGATATATGTATATTTCTAGATATATTGGGTGGTATCATGATGTAATCGTTAATAATTCTCTCTTAATGACACTCTCCGTAGTTTTATGCACCTTTTTGATCTATGCATGCACGCCGCCATACTGCCAACTTCACATTTCTCGCTCGTTGCCAACTTCTCTTCTCTACCGTGTTCATACCATAGTACCTATATGTATTCTATAGATAATCAACTCTATGTAAGAAACCATCTATCACAAAAACCAATCGAGCTTTAATGTTGCTCTTTGGCATCGTCGCTATTTTCTTACTTTGTTTACATTACTAATTTTGATTTCTGTGTCTTTTTATAATCTGTCTCACAA